ATATTATATTGTAACTAATTATTTAACGTTTTGTCTACACTGTAGTATCAAAATTTATTTGGTAAAAAATACAAAGAAATATATTACATTGTAACTAGTTATTTGACATTGTTATTATTTGATATTATAATTCAATGTTAAATATTTTTCCATTATAGTAGAATTATTTTTTGTCAAATTTATTAGACACTACATTGAGGTGTCAAGAAGATGATACTCTTGTATAGCTATCTCTAATATTGAAGTACGGCGTCAAATATAAAATAAATAAAAAATTAATAAAGGTGTTTCAACTACATGGAATTCCATGTATTTTATATTAAATGATTCTATTAAATTCCAAAAGACATTTGAGAGAATAAAAGAAGAAGATTCACAATTTATTTGTAATCTTGAGAATAGGTTCCTACAAATGAAGATTAGCAAAGATCAAATGTGTTAGTAAAATTTTTAAAGGAATTTTACGAAGTTACTAAGAAACTATTTGGTACTTTGTATATCACTTTCAATTCATATTTCATGCAAGTTGGTGTTATTGAAAGGACATTGAATAATTGGGCTCATAATTTAGAGCCATATCTTCGATCAATGGGCTTAAAAATGAGAGAGAAATTTAACAAGCATTGGGGAGGCACGGATTAAGTCAATGTGCTTTTGCTAATTGTTAGAGTACTGTTAGATCCTTGTTACAAATTAAAATACGTTAAGTTTTGCTGCACATATTATTAGCACATATTATGTCTACCATACATTACTTTGTTAAAATTTTAACCCCGGACTTTTCCCATTGATTTAACAAAACCCCACTTGCTTTCTAAAACCTCTGAAAATAAAGCAGTCAACCTTTACGCAATATACAAGAAAACGGAATCTGCATGCCTCTGAGAAAGATACGAGTGGAACATCTGAAATTTTAGCATTTGGATCTGCCGTTCTATCCTCCTTTATTGTGCCATTCAATATCTGACCAACTACAGCCAGAATGAAAAAGGCGAAAAAATGAAAAAAGAATAAGAAAAAATGCACACAGACTCATTCTGAGAAGGAAAATGAATTTTTTAAAGAAAAAAACTAATTCTCTCATCGTTGTTTCTCAATTTTTGGGATTTTATATCATTGTTGAATTCTTCAAAAAAATAAAAAAGAAAAGGGAATGCTACAAATAGAATTGTGTATAATATTAAACAAAGTGATCATAATATTTTCTACAAATTCTTCTGAATTCTCCCGGTTAAAGTTTTGATCTCCGTATGGAAAATCTGTTTTGTGATTATTTTTCTGTCTCTCTAAATAAACAGACTCTTCACAAAAACAGGAAGAATAAATTTATTGTTGGGATTAGGCCCAACACCCACTTCGGGCCACATGCAGCAGGCCCAACTATGCACCCATAGGCCTAAGAGGAGGAGACATACCCACGTGGACAGTGGCATGTAGACCAATCGGATGATTACATGTCTGAACTCTTGTCAGCATTTGGGGCTATAAATACCCCCCAACTACCTCCGATGAAAGTAATTAACTCCACTACGTATCTCTCTCTGCAATTACTCTTCGAGAACTTCTCTCTCTAGAATATTGAGTATTGCTAACTTGAGCGTCGGAGTGTCTTCCCCGAGGAGACATCCTTAGGAATTTCAGGTGTGGAAGCAGCCGAAGACCTAACAGTGTTGGATCGTGAAGCTGCCCAAATAGTTGGCGCCGTTTGTGGGAAACGTGAATAAGAAGTTGTATAGCTTAACCGGCTGAAAGACAAAATGGTTCGTACCTTTACTAAAAGTCGCCCTCCAAGAAATGAAATGGATGAATAGGAGGACACTCAACTATATGAGCTCGGCTTGAATGATTTTAGGACAATGCTGAGAAACCTTTTTGTTGGAGGAGCATAACAAGAACAACTAAGTGGAACAGATGATGATGAAAGAACACAAACTGGGTATGCAACTCAGCCTGAGCAATTTCAAATTCCAACAGGAACAAGGCGTGGACATCCCAGACAAGGCAATTCATAACATGAACGACCTGAAAGGTCAACAGAGCTTGCTCGGACAACCGAACTCGAAGAGAAAACCAGAGTTCTCAAAATGGCAATGGGTAAAATCCTTGCCCATCTGATCCCAGATGACCCCCTAATTCCTCTGTTGAATAGGGATGCACAACCAGCTACGGTTGTGGCAACTCGAAACTCCCCCGCTCTAAGCAATATAATAGTGCCGACCAAACCAAGGGGAAGTGGGAAGTTAAATAACGAGCCTAGCTCGTCCAAACACAGTGAAGAACTAATGAGAAAGAATGCAGACCTTGAAAGGTAGCTACGGGATGTACAAAAATCCATTGACAAGCTGAAAAGTCCTAGGTCGCACCAACAGACCCTTGATTTGGATAGTGCTCCACTTAACCTATCCATCACAGCAGAACCGTATCAAGAGGGATTCAAAATCCCTCACCTGGAGACATATGATGGCTCGGGCGACCCAGATGAACATCTACATACCTATCAAGCCATCATGAGGATTCAAAACGCCAATGATGCCATGATGTGCAAAGTGTTTCTAGCGACACTGAAGTCAACGGCTAGAAGGTATCACAAACTCCCCAGACACTCTATAGACTCATACTCTCAGCTCGCCAAGCTATTTTCCAACAAATTTGAGAGCTAAAGGGAGATTAAACATACAGTGACCGAGTTGATGCAAGTTCATCAAAAAGAAGGGGAATCTTGCAACTCTTCCCGGTTGAAGGCCGGTGGTCACAAGAACCACCACCCACGCTCGGACTAGCGCTACTCTCTGGCGTGGTGGTTCTGGGCGAATCTTGCAACTCCAGCGGCACTATCATGGTGATAGGCTCCACTGATATCACATCTACTTCTTCTTCCCCACCTTGGTTACCCCGAAACTCTTGCGCATCATGAAAAGAAGCCATTTTTACCTGAGTATGTGAAGTAGGATGTCCTTTCGTTGAAAGTTCTGAGGAATGGCTTGGAACGTCTCTACAAACCTTGCTAATGAAAATGCTAACGTACTGTGTAATGGTTTGAGTAACTACTTTTATTTTTTGTCCTTCAGATAGTGCTCCTAGAATGTCGTACCCGTGTTTATGGCCCCCTAGTTAAACGTGTCCACGTGGCAGTTGTAGATCTCTTCAGAGATTCCAAGTTCGAACAATCGTTAGACACCAGGTCATAACAATTTAGAGATTCACCTTAGTTTTGAACATCAAACGTTAGATCATCACCAACTCCTTCAAATTTACTCTGTATTTTGGAGATCTACATTATAGTGACGATTGAGGTCGCTCATTTCAGCCCATCTGGGTTGATTGGCTCAACTCGTTCACTATATGCTCGCCTTCACTCTACTACAGAAGATCCATTATGCGAGGTCACCCTTGCACGCCCGCTTAGCTCACTGATTAACATCGAGCTCGCTGGGGTCAACACCAGCTTCCCCTGCCTGCTCGGTTGGAAGTTGGCATACGCATACGCATCAGACCAGGCCACACTGGCTTCAGGCCGCCCAGATCGGCCGTGCATGAGATCGATCATGAATCATAAAACGGCACTCCTCATCCCTAGGGTCAAACACCGTGCTAATGAGACTCTCAACCCAGTTCGTCAACCGAACGTTGATGGGGGAGTAATGTTGGGATTAGGCCCAACACCCACTTTGGGCCACATGCAGCAGGCCTAACTATGCACCCATAGGCCCAAGAGGAGGAGACATACCCACGTGGGCAGTGGCACGTGGACCAATCAGATGATTACATGTTTGAACTCTTGTCAGCATTTGGGGCTATAAATACCCCCCAACTACCTCGGATGAAGGTAATTCCACTACGCTTCTCTTTCTGCAATTACTCTTCGAGAGCTTCTCTCTCTAGAATATTGAGTATTGCTAACTTGAGCGTCGGAGTGTCTTCTCCAAGGAGACATCCTCGAGAATTTCAGGTGTGGAAGCAGCCGAAAACCTCAACAGTGTTGGATCGTGAAGCTACCCAAACACTTACTAAAATAAATACGCGAAGGCAAGATCAAATAATCATATCACATTAAATTTCTCAAAAAAAAAAAAATGCAGTGGAAGCCAAACTTCAAAAGATTTAAAGCAACATCAAAGGATATCTTTCTTAGATTTGTCCCACTATTGGAAAATCATTCATGATAATCAAAAGGATTCCATGACATGCATTAAAGATCTAGCTCACCCACGTGGGATTACAAAACCAAATTGAAAGAAGCTAATTTAGATTAAAATAAAAACGAAAAAAAGGGAGAAAGGATAAACAGACTAATTTAGATCAAACCAACTTGAGATAAAAACTAAAGCTTTAATTTGAACATCCAAATACCTTACCTAAAAAGCCTTCTACCATGCATCTGTAAACACCCTTCAAGAGGAAAGGGAACTTCTTCTTTCTCCTCTAAGAAATATAATCATGTTTTAGAATAATTCTTATGCTTTTATCCTTCTTGATTTACATCGTAGAAAATAATGAGAAGAACCACTGAAAATACTTAGACAACAGTGAGGTCATCAGTTCTATTCGAATACCTATGTAGCTAAAGTGTGGCATTAAGGGTTGAATGAAGGAAGCATAAGCTTGACCAAAGGCTAGACTAAGAGATTTTCACATATAGTTCTAACTCATTCTTTTTATCATGTGAAAGCTAAGTGGGCATAGAAACATTCCTATTATTCTTTAACATTATTATTTCTTAGATTAGATTGGGAAATAGTACCTGACCTCTTATATTTCAAATAGAAAAGCTTGTCTTAAAAACTTATTTATAATATTTTACGATGCTTGACTCGATTCAAGAAATAATTCTAGATAAAGTGATTTATGAGCAACAATGCAAATATTGTAAAGATAAAATAGTAAATATTTTAGAAAAAATAAGTAATATTGAAGATCTAGATGATTATTATCTCTTCAAGAAACTCGAAAAGTTAAAGCGAACAATAGAAAATTTAAACAAGGATTTAAAAGACTCAAAAAGGTTAAGCAATGATTATCTCTACTAGATGCTTAATAGATTTGATTCTATTGAACTTAGCATACCAGCTACACACAAGTTTATAGTCTGAGTTAGGTTTTGAAAACCCTAGAAAAATTCTAGTATCAAAGCCAAAAAAATAATGTTTTTAAGAATGGAATTAAGAAAGTCAGTAAGATTTTATGATCAACAGATTGATATTATAACAAAAATTATAACACTAGAAGGAATGATACCTTATAGAACTGATGATTTACTATCGGACAGATATGTCTATAAAGTATGTAGAGCATCAGCTCTAAAAGAACTAAAAATTTTAGCAAGATAAGAATAAAAGTTGTTTTCAAGGCAAATATAAAATTAAGGATTGAAAGATCAAAACAAATATAGTTAGAGGGCTAAATGTTCTTTTGAAAAATAAAGATATTTTTATTAAAGATAATGGACTAGATGAAATTGAAATGAGTCTAAAAGAGAATAGACAAAATTACAAGAATCCAAAGATAATAGACGAAATTAAAAAGATAAGAAAGTTAGTAAATGATTTGTAACAAATTGTTTTCTTTTACATAAGTGAAATAGCCTAGGGTTTTCTTTTCAGGTGTTGGGTTTTTACTTATGGATATAATAATAATAATAATAATAATAATAATTATTATTATTATTCTAAACACGTAAATTTATGAATAATGCTTTATATCATATTATTAAATTAATTTATATATAATATTATAAATTTAAAAAATAAAAAAACTAATTATTAAATAATATAAAATTTATTTTTAAATGTTATGATTCATGCTAATTATTAATTTTAAATTTTAATCTCATTTATTATTATTTTAAAAAATTATGGATTTAAATAGGCTCCATATTTTTTAATTTATTGTGCTTAGTTTGATTTCTTGTTCGATATATATGAGAAAAATATCTGACATTGTTATTATTTGACGTTTTTCTGTACTGTAGTGTCAAATTTTATTTGGAAAAAATACAAAAAATATATTATATTGTAACTAATTATTTGACATTGTTATTGTTTGATATTACGATTCAGTGTTAAATATTTACCATATAATAGAATTATTTCTTGCCAAATTTATTACATACTACATTGAGGTGTTAAGAAGATGGTACTCTTATATAATTATCTTTTATGTTGCGGTACGTATCAAATATAAAACAAATAAGAAATTAATACAAAAAAAAAAATTAGATTGTAACTAATTATTTGACATTTTTTTCTACACTATATTGTCAAAATTTATTTGGTAAAAAATACAAAGAAATATATTACATTATAACTAATTATTTGACATTGTTATTATTTGATATTACAATTCAATGTTAAATATTTTCCCGTTGTAGTAGAATTATTTTTTGCCAAATATATTAGACACTACATTGAGGTGTCAAAAAAATGATACTCTTGTATAACTATTATTGATATTGAAGTATGGCGTGAAATATAAAACAAATAAAAAATTAATAAAAGTGTTTCACCTAAATGGAATTCCACGTACTTTATATTAAATACTTCTACTAAATTCCAAAAGGCATTTGAGAGATTAAAAGAGGAAAATCCACAATTTATTTGTAATCTTGAGAATGGGGTTCCTACAAATGAAGATTAGCAAAAGTCAAATGTGTTTGTAAAATTTTTAAAGCAATTTTAAGAGGCTACTAAGAAACTAGTTGGGACTTTGTGTATCACTACCAATTCATACTTCATACAAGTTTGTGTTATTGAAAGGATATTGAATGATTGGGCTCATAGTTTAGAGCCATATCTTCAATCAATGAGCTTAAAAATGAGAGAGAAATTTAACAAGTATTGGGGAGGCACGGATCAAGTGAATGTGCTTTTGATGATTGTTATGGTGTTAGTTCCTTGTTACAAATTAGAGTATGTTAAGTTTTGCTCCACATATTGCTAGGAGAGACAAGATTTGATGCTCTAATGACGAAGCTTGAAAATGCCTTGAAAAGGTTGTTTGAGCATTATAAATTGACTAAGAAAACAAGTCCACACAGAAGTATAAGAGTTCATGAAGGGGTAGAAATGGAAGTTGACCAGCCAAATTTGAATGACTTTGGGAAGGTGGATCAAGAATGGATGAGCTACGTAAAGAGAAATGAGAAATTGTTGATTCCAAGTTGGAGCTAGACCGCTACTTGGAGGAGAGCACTAAGGAGATGAAGATAGGGGTTGATTTTGATATCCTAACTTGGTAGAGATCAAATAGAAGCAAGTATCAAGTTCTTGCTAGGATGGCAAGCGATATTCTGAGTATTCTTATTTCTATTATTGCTTCAAAGTCTGATTTAATTTTAGCTATGGAGGTTGAGTTCTCGACCAATTTCGTAGTTGCTGTCATCGAGGCTGTGTTTGATCTGTGCTCAAGATTGGTTTAGGCCTTCATCACTTCCTGTTGAGGTTGAGGTGGATTTGGAAGAGTTGGTGAACATTGATGAATCTAGTAATTATTTGTTTTCTAATTTTCTTATCCTTATTGTTGATTATTTTTATTTATCAGGTGGAAAAGAAATTTAACTATATATATATATATTTTTAAAGTTTAGATATCTTTATGGATCCTGATCTTATTGCAGTATCATATGTCAATAATCAGAGTTTGGCGACTTCTTGATTATTTGACATTGGTGACTAAGTGGATTACTGATCTTGTTGTAGTGTCATAATTCTTATAAGTCTGAGGTTTTCTACGATGCATATTTTTAAGTTTGAACTTTATAATTTCTATAACTTCTATGAAAACTTTGGACCATCTTGCATTATTACGAATATTTTGATAAATTATTAAATTCTAGATAAATTTTTTAGTAGAGATTTTGAATTTTGTAATTTGTATATAAATATTAATACATTATATAGAATGTTAATATGGCTAATTGGATGGGTAAAAAAAAATTTACATTGATATTTGTATTTTTTTATATTATTTGCTTTTTTAAAATAATTTATCTAGCATGTGCTTTTAAATTACAGGTTATGGGGTAATAAATATATCATTTTACAATTTATTTATAGAAAAAATTAAAAAAATGGATATTTATTTTAACATTATTGCTAGGTACATAATTTTGATTAGCAATTGATTAAATTTAAATCAACATTTATATTTTTCATGTAAATGAATTATAAAAATGTATACTAAATGTATTCTTAACCAAAAAGATAAGAAATAGAAATTTTTATTAATAAAAAAATATTAGTTTTAACTCTTTTAAGTGTTAGCTTTTAACAACTTTGACTGAAAGAAAAAACAAATAAATAAATACATAAACAAAAAATGCCATGGAAATTTGGTGAAGAAACCAGATGAGGAACAATTGGTGGATTGGTTTGACTAACCCAAATCCAATCTAAAGTCCACGGAGTTAGATTGGGTTGACTCCATGAAAAGATGATTCTAGTTTGGAACCAAATTTTCTTGAAACCAACAGCTTTGGTTTGGATCTCAAACCAAACCAAACCAAACCTGTGGATTGAGACCAAGTTGCACCCCTAATCACTAATAGTAATACGTAGGAATGAAAAAGAAGAAAAGTTGTGGGGAAATTTGCTATACAAGGGATAGTTA